CCTCACATCGCACTCTGGTTCTGTGTGTAGCATTAACACTGTGCACGTGTTTCAAATTAAACACTGCACGTGGTTTCTTTTATAGTTAAAACATTCGTAGTACAAGATAATTATCTTTGCCATGTGTATAAAACAATACTACGTACGTATCATTTATCATGCTTTCTAATTAAGTATATGTTGTCGCCACCTGTAATTACGTGGTTATGTAACATGTTTATTTTTAGCTATGTTAGTCAGGACATTGTTGACCTGTACTATTTGTTTATTTTCAGATATTGTCCTTTTTCTTCATAGAAGCCTTTTTCTTCATAGGCTTCTTCTCCATAGTTCATAGTGTCCTTTTTCTTGTTTTCATCATAGGAGAGCATTAATTAAAAAGCTATAGTCCTCAAGACCTGATTGTTTCATTTTGATTTTGATCTTATTTATAAAACTGTAAGCTATACGTCATCCACTCGGCTACATTAAAAAAAAAATATTACATAATATTAAGGTAATTTGACACATGAACATCTTGTGATAGATGTAATATAGAGCACATATGTCCAACTCCAACCCTACCCATGGCCCATAGGCCATAGGATTTTACTTCAAATGGGGTTGCCAAGGGATTTCTGTGGGGGTTAATATAGTCAGAGAAATAGTGATTTTTTAAAGTTTTTTAAATATTGTTTTGTCCTATCCTATAGGCCTACTTACAGTTTGAGTTAGAATTTAATAATAATGGCATCAAATATATCATTTATTACAATAACTGAAAAATCTAGTTTTAATATGTTCAGACCTGTTTACTCTTACGATTTTGGCGTACACTGTACAATTTTGAGATGTGTACATTATATATACTGTAAGTTTATTTTTTTACTATTAAGAATGATTTTGTGATATTGTACGATTTTAAGAGTTTGAGGGTAAACAGATCTCTATGTTTTTATTTCCAACAATTTATCCTAATCCTATTTAAAAGCCCTTTTTTCAGTCTATCACAGTATAGTTAAATATAAGTAAGGTCCCGTTTTGCCCTTGTTGTTTAAAAAAAAAATATCTAGTGATG